AGGAATATTGCTATCGAAATAAAAATAGTAGTTGACGAACCCGTGTTTATTAATAAATATCGTTAACAGTATAAAAACAAAGTCAATACTACTAATAGTTAGATTCAAGTAATGATCAAGTTTTATAGCATATAAATTATAAATCAACTAAATAACAAAATATTAAAAAAAAAGGATGTACTAGATAATTTTATCTTTACTGGAGGAAGTTTATAAATATATAACTATGGAAGCCACACCTAGCATTACTCAAATATATATATACAAAGAACTTACAAGATATATAGGCAAATGTAATTACATTATTACGGTAAACTAGTCTGGCCAATCTTTTTATGACAAAGAATTTTTATTGGTATATACACATGTCAGATGATATTGGAACTGTAAAAAATCGCTAAATGCGTGAACTTTGGTTTTCAACGGACACATTTTGAAAATCAACCCTGTGTCAATCACCACATTCACATGTCAAATGTGAGTTAAGATTTAATTTTACAACAGGATAATGTACGCGAAATACCAACAAGATGGCATACAAAAATGATGATCCAACAGACCTAGAGAATTACGGACTGGAATAGAAATAGACTGGAAACACTTACGATTTAAGGGCAACATAGTTCTGATAACAGATAAAAGATGAACTATGCTTACTGAGTTAGATGCAACCTGTAAGACAGTTGGTTTGAACTTAGATTTTGGAAATACTGCAAATAAATGACATTAGTTCATAAATATAAATACTTATGATATCCAAATTGACAGGGATAACCTAACCGCTGAACTGCAAAGAAAAATTGCTTTAGCATTGGCCGCATATGGATCTCTATCAGAACCTTCAAGAGCAACATGCCGAATTATTTAGAAAAGAAGATGTTCGACCAATTGTAAGGTCAGTCATGACTTAAGCGAAACACTTTCATTAACGCAGGACATACCAACCAAACGAGTAGCCCAAAGAAGGATGTAACGGACGTTACTTAGACTGACTCTTGTTAGAAACTTGGAAATAAGTCACATATGTCATAGAGCGCATAGCATGTCCGAATTGGAACTGGGCGGGAAATTTGGGCAGAATGAATGACAGAAAAAGCAGAGGTGCACCACCTAGACGATAGGCAGACGACGTCATGTTAATGTAAATATTCAGACTTTCAAAGTGAAACAAAAGCCACCAAAATTTACGAAAATTTATTTCGTTTCTGACGATGCTTTTAGTGTCGAAATTATCATGGTTGATTTTTACATAAACATGTTCTTCTCTTGAAAACCAAATTTCACCTACTTCGAGAGTTTTTACTGAGTATCATTTGACTCATTCCGCTGACTTAACTAAAGTCTACATTTATATCTTCCATACATACTGTCTTTTTGATGGTACGATATGTACAATAGCGTGGTTTCAGGTTTCTCGTTTAAAAATAAAATGATTCTATTAATGACTGCACCATTGCACTCATGGTGAAGCCAAATACCTAATTGACGAAATATTAAATCTCCTATCACTTATAAGAATTAAAATAAACAAATAATGGCAAATTCACGAATTAATTTCTAAAAATCTTGGATGTGAAAAATAATTGAGTGATTGCGGAAAGGATATTAACCCTCAACTGGCGTTGTGGGGTCAGGAGGAGCCCCAGTACTTTTTAAATGCATGTCAAACTTACAAATTTAGCATTTATGCCTGGCCGCGCCATTTACCTTTAATTTGGTGCACTTGTAAGCCACTCCGATATGCGCGTCAACTGTGATTCAGTATTGCTCTGAATAGCCAGCAGAAAATTTCATTTGGGGTATGTATGGTACGGTGGTATGATGAATTAGAAAGCGAGTTTAGTGATTATAAGGACTACAACGACAAAGATTTTTCTCCAGAGAGTGACCATAAATCTGATTCTGAGAAGGAAGATCAGGGGACAATGCTGACATACAAGAAAGTCAGGCTATAGGTGAAGAAGAAGAGGGGCCATAAACAACAAATGGAAAGTTTTATTTTGGTAAAAATCGATACAAATGGTCTGCTGTTCCGGCCAGTGCAGATTTGAATATTACAACAAAAAAACACAATCTGGTAAAAGTTCTTCGGGAGTTGAAAGGACCTGCAAAATGTGGTGATGTCTCTGATCCCTTAAAAATATGGAGCCTTCTTTTCACAGAGAATATGGAAAACGAAATAATTCGACGGACAAATGAAAAGATATTGTTATTTCAAGATAAATTTAGCAATTCTGATAAAACAGAACTGAGAGAACTAACAAAGGAAGAATTTAGAGCATTTCTCGCAATCTTGTATGACTGCAGTTTTCAAATCGAATGATGAAGACTTGCAAGTAATATTTGCAACAGATGGAACGGCATGAGACATATTCAGATCCATTCTGTCTTCGAAAAGAATATATGTGTTGCTCGCATGTCTAAGGTTTGTTGACTGAATAGTTAGTGTAAAAATTTTATTGCTTTTGTTTTGCAGTGTTTTGGTTATTTGAGCGTTTTGTAAAAAATTTCCAAACCTGTTATTCTATGGGAGAATTGTGTCATATCGACGAAATGTTGATAGGATTTTGCGGTATGTGTTGATTCCGCATGTACATACCTAATAAACCTCGGGAATATGGACTGAAAATGATGGCCCTAACAGGCGCAATACCCACTATTTCTATAATGGCTATATTTCCTGTGATAAGGATAATAATGGTTTTTCTCTAACAAACGAGGAGAGATGTTTCATGAAACCAACACAAGCGGTGTTGAGACTGTGTCATCCAATTGCTAATTCACACCGAAATGTCACAACAGAAAATTGGTTTTCATCCATAGAAGTCATCAATGCATAAAAAAAAAACGAGGACTGACCTATGTTGGCAGCATATGCAGACGAGGTGGACATTATAACAAGAACTAGGGCGAGAACTGCGGAAATCCTAACCGAGCTAGTAGCAGCAGCAGAACGAATGGGGTTACATATAAATCAAAATAAAACCAAATTCATGGCGACTAACACAAACACAAGAGCTGGAAATGTTGACACAAATTTAATCATCAATGACCAAACTTTCGAAGCAGTCAATGAGTTCATATATCTAGGGACATCGGTTAACCCCAATAATAATACATCTGAGGAAATAAAAAGGCGAATAATAATTGCAAACAGGTGTTATTATGGTCTATCAAAGTACCTAGCTAACAAACGTCTGTCTCAAAAAACTCGTATAAGGCTGTATAGAACACTGATAGTCCCCGTTCTCACATACGGATCAGAGGCATGGACGCTAACGAAAACAGATGAATCCGCTCTATCCGCTCTATCGTGCTACGCAAGATATTTGGAGCGGTCTGTGAGAACGGAATATGGAGGCGTAGATATAACTTCGAACTGCAGAATATCTACAAGCATACGTTTGGTGGTAAAGATATTACCACTATAATTAAGCGAAACCGCCTGCAGTGGGCAGGACATGTAGCCCGGGCCCCTGAATCGAACATGATAAAAAAGATTCTAACAGCGCAACCTGTGGGAATGAGACGACGGGGTAGACCAAAGCTGAGGTGGATGGATGGGGTAACACAAGATGCGGAGAAGATCGGAGTCGGCAACTGGAAAATTCAAGCAAGGGACAGAACAGAATGGCGTAGAAAGCTTGAGAAGGTCGAGGCCCTCTAAGGGCTGTAGCACCAAGATGATGATGATGATGACCTATGTTGGCACGCTGAAACGAAACAAAAAGGAAATATCTATGCCGTTCCTTCCAAGTCGAAGCAGAGCTGAAGGATCTTCCATTTATGGTTTTACAAATGACTACACTATAATTTCCTACGTTCAAAAAAGGGAAGGCAGTTGTGTTAGTATCATCAATGCACCATACTGAATGTGAGGACACAGAATCTGGTATTCTATAATCAAACAAAAGGTGGTGTTGACGCACTAGATCAAAAATGTACTACATATTCTGCTAACCGACAAACTAGGCGATGGCCAATGACTATTTTTCTACAATATTATACAATATTGAATATTGCAGGTGTCAATGCACACATTTTACATGGATGTTATAAAAACAACCAAGTCATAGAGAGAAAAGCCTTTTACAAAATTCTTGCAAGACAACTTATCTCAATATCTCAATATAAGACTGTACAATTTTCGATTACCTAGGGGAGCTTCGTATGGGTATCAGTAGAATACTAAATAAAGCTTTGCCTGAAGCAGAGAGGGAAGAATTAAATAATCAGAACCAGAAACGACAGAGATGTGGTATCTGCGATCGAAAGAATGACAAAAAAACAAAAGTGTCATGAAACAAATGTTCCCGACCAATGTGCGGCATTTCCAGGGCATATGTTTGCAAGAATTGCATTTAGAAAAATGCTACTTGAAAAATAAATAGAAAATGGACTACATGGTTTTATTCTAGCTTAAATCATGACAAATTTTAAGAAAATAATGAATTTCACAAAAAAACTAAAAAAAATGAGGTCCGGTTTACCCCAGGACGCAGTTAACGGCAGAATAAACCACGACGCCAGTTGAGGGTTACAAGTAAGAAAAAAATAACAACGAAAGTGACCTCTCAAATGTGCTTCTATGCTTCTCGATCTGACATTATTTTTAAAGATTCTGTGAACATTTTGCACATTCTTGATCCTTTCTCTGTATTGCAACTTTCTGATTAACTCTAAGATTATGGGAATAAGAAAAGAAAAGAGTAGTATTTAAAGGTAACCAAAATTGTACCAAAAAGGAGATAGGGACGGAAGAGATTGCAAATGAATGCAAAGTGGACTCATGGTTGATAATGAAAAATTTTTACTGAAACGTCAACAAAAAAAGCAAATCGAAGTAACAAAAAAGAATTTACCTGTAGCAATCTTTGCATCAATACCACCGTAGTCGAATGTGTGAGGTTGGTGAATAATAGCAAGATAATGATGTGGCTAATGATGATCTCAAGGATAAAAAAAGCGATCAATGGAAAACTACTTAAAACCAAGTTTTTACAAAAGTCTTTATTAAAATAATAATTATTCTGCCTAGTATAAGTACACTCTAAATAAAGCATGCAACGATGTTATGATGAGAAACTACTTAAAAGAAATCGTTATAACAGTGCTTATTATATATAATTTTACAAGCTGTTTCTAGAGTCTGATATAATATAATGGTGTTGTGTTAACCAAGATTTGCCTGCTAATGTAGTAAGCAATTGTAGTACCAACTGTATTAATAGTCTTTTTTTACTCTAATAGCAAGAATAACAATTTCAAAAATTGAATGATATGAAACCTATATGAGCAAATAATAAAATTAATTGAAAGTTGCGCAATACTTACGTATTTTTATTCAATATTTATACAATTATTTCGTTAAAATTATCGTTAATCTTATTATACTATCGAACTTAAATGAATTTGCTCATTTGATAACTTTTTCCTCAAAAACTATAACTTGCAAAATGCTATACTAATTTTTTATGTAAAAAATGAATGTTAAATGTATCGCTTCCATATTTAAAAATGCTATATGAATTGTTATATGTTAAATAACTTCATGTATACGGGCATATTCAAATAATAATCCAACAATAAATAAACTATGGGTCTCTTAAATAACACTTAAAGAAATATTAATAAGAAATTGCTAGATACGTCTTAACGTAAGTCAGGGCTTTCGCTTACTTGTTTCTTAATACGTAAAAGAATCGTAGTATACCACTGATCAAGACGAGAGATTGAATCGTAATCTTTGACTGCTTCTGTATATCCATCTACGTTTTGCTCTTCGATGCTTTCTATGAGGGTTTTCAAAAGTTTGTATTCACGGGAATCTTGAAATGCGGGATACCTATCAAGGAAAAAAATATTAGTGATATATATACTGGTGATGTAAAAAGTAAAGATCATGTACAATAAACATCAAAACAATAACAAAGAAACAAGTAAACAGTTAATATTTATACATTAAAACAGTATATCAAATCACAAAAATTAAAAAAAATATATCAGTATCACATAGTATCACATATCTAGATTAAGAGCGTAGGCGCAAAATTTCGGGCCAATGCTTTTTAAATGCAATCATTTTTTTCGAATCCTGAGAAAACTAATAAATATTTTTGAAAAATTTAAACGCAGAATGAAAGATTACATCATTACCGAGGGCCGAAAGTCCCTGAAAACTTCTATAATGTTTATTTTAATTAGTTACAGGGGTGAAAAACAAGAGAAAATTTAGTGTGATTTTTAATCTCATATATCTCATTCAAAAAAACTTTTTGTTTATTCTAAGGGACTTTCGGCCCTCGGTAATAATGTAATCTTTCATTCTGCGTTTAAATTTTTCAAAAATATGTTTTAGTTTTTTCAGGATTCGAAAAAAATGAACACTATGTCCGCGGTAATATTTTCCAAATCGAACATTCCCTATCTTTGTCATACAACGCACTCAGTCGAACTGAAAGTGGTGGCAAAGCTACTAAATGTTTGACACGGCTTCAGGAATATTTTGTGTTGCTTATTAAATAATATTAATAGTTTATTTGATAAATAATTAATTTAAGATGTGAAATTAATAATAAATGATTTATTATTTATTATTTATGGAAGATCTAAGTATCAGATGAAGTCATTAAAGTTCAAATAAAAGTATTATTTTATAAGAGTTTGTTTTCATAATCGTAAATGCGAGTTTAGGAATAAACTAAAGTGCCCATGGTGTAGATATGAAAAGCTACGAAGGTGGCGCATGACAATATCTTGAGTGAATTATTAAATTTTGACATCATAAATAATGATTGCTTTTCATGAAGAGGTATAACGCTTTTTTTTTCATTTTACACATCTACATATTTTTTTGTTTATTTTTTTTTAGAGTTTAAGGATTAAAACACTTTTCAATGTTGTAGCTTTCAGTTCAATTTACCATTATTGTTTATTTCAATATTTATCTTGGACTATATCAATGGTACTTTTAAGACTTAAAACTTAAATTGTTTGTCTATTGATATAGAAGAAAGTGGTTACATAGGCCTCTGGAAAATACATAGTATAATAACTAGGTACCTACATTCAAAGTAAAATAAAAACTATTAATTAAAAGATATTAAGTATGTTAAGTGTAATAAATATTCTCTGCAATAAGATCCTATTAATCATAATTAATAACTTATCATTATTGAATTATTTCAAAAGTGTGTTTCCTGGATTGTTTTATATGCTTTTTATTACCCTAAGAAATTACATATAAATGAGTGTTTACAAGAGGTAAAAACATCTGGGCTTGAAATTTTTGGGTGTCGATGCCCTACTATTATATCTATGTCGATGCAGTTCTAGGAAAACGTGTCTGTCGACTCTCAAAACAGATGTATTATCGAAAGTGTTCGAAATAAATTTGCAATGGGAATGTAAAGGCAATTTTAAAATTATTTTGAAATATACGAGGGGTCTCATAAAGTGGACGTATCAAACGTATGTTTGTTTTTATGGAACTCCGTATTTTATTGCATTTTTTATACTTAATATTGTAATTTCGGAGATATTTCGATTTTCCTTAAATTGTAGGGCATTAAAAAATAATAACTCCTAAACCAATGAATTTAGCCAAACAATATTTATTTTAATTGTAGGGAAAGCGTAATAATAGAGAATACCGACGTATTTAAAGTTATATGCAAATACACAGGGTGTCAATTATTTATAATTATTATTTTATTATTTGTTATATCACAATATTCAAATTAAATTTTGTTTTTTTTTAGTTATATTAAATTTTTTAATATTTTTTCCTTATTATTATTAGTTGTTTACCTTGGACAGCAATTAAATTGTAACGCAGAAAGTCACGACGAAATTAGATCTAGGATAGAGCAGGCTAGAGCTTTAGAAGGATGTCCAAGGTGTTATGTAACAGAGACCTAAAATTGACTTTGAGGAACCGCCTACTTCGCTGCTACGTGGTCTCGGTCTTACTTTATGATGTCGAGTCCTGGACTGTAAATAAAATCGATCTAAATCGCCTTGAGGGTTTCGAAATGTGGTGCTATAGAAGAATTTTAAAAGTTTCCTGGGTGGAGAAGATTCGAAACTCCACAATACTAGAATGTCTCAGCAAGACCACTGAGATCATAAAAAGCACCAAACAGAGAAAACTGGAGTATTTTGGACATGTAATGAGAGGTCCCAAATATAGGTTGCTACAAAATATCATTCAAGAAAAAATAGCAGGCAAACGCAGTCAGGACGAAGAAGAACCTCATGGTTAAAGAACTTGCGAGATTGGTATGGTGTTGATACAAGCATGCTATTTAGGGTGGTAGTGAATACAATTAAGATAGCTATAATGGTAACCAACGTTTCGAAAGAACATGGTACATGAAGAAGAAGATATTTTTTCCTTAATTAGAACACTTTGTATATGAACGTATGACTATACTTTAACTATATTATCGTTTCAACAATATATAGGATATCTTAAGCACAGAATAATAAACAATCAGAATGCCCACTCTGCTTAAAAAAAAAGAAGTACGCGCATCTCCTTCGCGCAGAAGGAATCAGCCATGTTTTAGTCGGAACCGGTGCTGTTCAGTGACACATGGTGTGCATAGACAAATTAACCCGGTTTAATTTATTTACTGCAACTACAGACATAATATGCACTTTCACATTTTATTCGTACTTTTAGTTGAAGAGTAGATTAAATTATTTCAGAGTTTATTAATAGACTAAATTATTAATAATTTTGTGAAGGGCTTGTTGATATTGACCTTTAGAATTGTACGACATACTTCATAGTAACCATACCATACTTGGTGGACCATACTTCAAGGTAAAGTGCATGGGAAAAGAGGTCCAGGACGGAGAAGAATATCCTGGCTGCATAACCTGCGGAAATGGTTTAACTTAACCACTACCGGACTTTTCAGGGCAGCAGTCAACAAAGTCAGAATAGCCATGTTAGTGTCCAACATCCGTAACGGATAGGCACCATAAGAAGAAGAAGACAAACCAGCAGCGTGGCATCTCATGTCATAGGACCCCCGAGAGCTATAATTTATTGTTTTACCTCCTAGAAACTTTGCTATTACATTACTATATTGTTTAGCATAATTGTTACTCATATTTTTTAAAAGACTATTTGCATGGAATTTTAATCTTGCTGCATATTAGATGTATCGTTTTTCAAAAACTTTATTCTTAAGTCACTTGGTTTATCTGACTGTTGATGGTATTCAGTTGCTTTTGTAACAGCGGTTCTTAATCTTAATATGTTATTTTTTAAAAGCTTTCGTAAGAAAATTGGTACTAGTTTTCCATCGAAACTATATCGTTTTGTTGATAACATCTAGAATTATTTGTCTTTCCATTGTAGTCGAAGCTTTTGTCCAATTTTTATAACATACGTGTTCTTTATCTTCTTTGTATAATTAACGTTACTCCAAGATACAGAATCTTTTGGGTTCTGTAACCAATAATGGCTGCAGCTCCAGAATTGGCGTTATAATTTGTTTTATATGATTTCTTTGACCAAGAGCAGTCCGCAACAACAGTTATAAAACGATAGCCATCTTTATTAATATCTCCATGCTCTTTTGCTAATTTGATTTCTTCTTGTCCAGCCTCAAGCATTGATGTCCAAAAACTTTCATGGTATAAGTCAATTAGATCATTTTGAATTAATAAATAATATTTTTTGATAGTAGTGGGATATTTAGACTGGACGGTAATTCAGTTAGTTGTGGTTATCCTCCACCAATACTAACTATTCCAGTTATTGCTGCAGAATTGACGTTGAGGGATAGTTGTTTAAATTTTTCAGTTTCTACTTCATGTTTTATGCGACACATTGGGCAAAAGAGAGTAAATTTAGAATAACATCCTTTTCGCTTTTCACTAGTTACTGTAATATCTTCCGGAAGCAATTGAACAATCTGTGGTGAGGGAATTGCAGTATTTGCCTAATAAAATATTGCACATCTACAATTCTTCTTCCTTGTAATATGAAATCTGAAGTAGTTTGTCTAAAAGACATATAAATTATTTATTTATGTTTAAAAGTTTACTGTACTTTTTACTGCTACTACATTTTATATTTGGTAAAAAAAACTTACGTAGTAGCTGAATATTCTTTAATTATGTTCTCCTCCTTGCAAGGAAAAATCCAAGAACGCAGAAATCCAGGCCGTAGAAGAATGTCCTGGATGAGAAATTTAAGAGAGTGGTTTGGCTGTACCACTAACGAATTATTCAAAACAGCAGTAAATAAAATTAGAATCGCCATAATGATATCCAATCTCCGATAGGAGAGGCACTCAAGAGAAGAAGATGTTCTCCTTGGCAAGTTCTTCGAAAATACGGGATTGACTGTTATAGAAAAATCGTATTCATTTCATGTTAAAAAAATTAAAAGTATGGCTTACTTAATAAATATCTCTGCTACTTTTTGAGCCGCCACTCAAGAATATCGTGCTCGTCTATAATATTCCAAATTAAATAATTTTAAAAACAAATGAATGTATTACTTACTTAGTACCTACAGTTTCTTTATAGTGTATTAACATGTAAACCTTCTACTACAATGCTAGTAGTGATAACCACAAACATACAATCCACAAAAATCAAACAGATAGTTTATTCCTTTAAAGGAAAATAAAATGTAAAGAAAAAATTCTTGGTTTACTGATCGATTTTATAAATGACATTTTCACTATATATTTACAAATCAGTTTTACAGAAAAATACAAAAGTAATTTAATTTATATAAAAAGTACTTTCAATTGAGCTAACCGTCTATTTCTTCGTTTTACACTAATACATTTCTTGTAACAACGTCCCATATTTGAA